GGCATTCCTTTCCCTGCGGCCCTTTAGCAATGAGAACTCCACCCCCTCCTCCACCCTCGATGGCTGTAATTAAGTCCTTTCCTTTAATCACCCCTGCTTACCAAACTGTCTATGCACAGACCATTAGCCTGGGCTGAATGTTTCACTCAGTGCCCCCCCTAACTCTTCTCTAAGGACTCTTAGGTTTCCATATGACAAAGGCTCCAGCTCATTAGGAAAACTGGTTCTAGGATTGTGTTAAGCCTGTTGACTAAAGAAACACATTCAGAAACATACATGTGCCAGAGAAAGATTTCTACCAAAGAGCAATTGTATATCAAGAAAACATCCCATCACAGTCCAGATCAAGTCCATCGGTCCAATATTAGCCCGTGTGTCCACTACGAGTTGTGGTAGTTACATAGTCTGGTGCCAACTTGAGACTATTAAGAGTGAAGGGGTGGAGTCTAGCCTGTCAATCAGGTCGCAGCTTGATGGCCTCATTTTGGAGGCACCACGGAAATCAATAGCTCACTGGAGGTCAGTCACTCTGTTTAATATTCCTGATGACAAGACACATGGAGCTATGCCAGAGCCCCGGAGCTGGAGGAGCCACGTGGAGACCCAAGCCAGTGCTGAGGTGTTTCCACCACCACTGGATCCACAAGATTTTCCACCCACTGGCCTGTGATCTTCCTGCATTCAGCGTCATTGCATGTGTTGCATGAGTCTGAAGAGGAATTTATAGACTGGTCTCAGACATAGGGACTAATATTGGACTTGTGGACTTGATCTGGACTGGGCTGGGATGTTTTCTTAATATACAACTGCTCTTTATATAAAGCTGTCTCTTACACACATGCGTGTCTATGAATTTGTTTCTCTAGTCCACCCAAACAGACACACTAGTCCATAACTTCCTCTTCATACTCATGAAGCACATGTAATGACGCCGAATGCGGGAAGATCACAGGCTGTGCTAGGTTTTGTGGTGGTGGTGCTGCAGAGCAAACCGCCTCGCGTGATGAACCATGTGCAGCAGCAGACATCTGTTTCTTGGTTACGGGCCAAGCTTTGCAGGTGAGGTTGCTTTGGCTGTATGTTGGGGATTGGATTCAAGTCTGCTCCAAGTGCCTCATTTGGGACATACTCTTATCATGATGGAAACAGGCTTGGAAGGAGGCAAGCCAAATCACACCAGCACATTGAATGCCTCTGGGAGGACATGAAGGGTCTTGGTGGTGTTGTGGTTACGCATTGGAATGCTACCTGCAAGGCCAGCAGTTCAAAACCATCAGCCGCTCCAAGGGAGAAAGAGGAGGCTTTCCACTCCTGTAAAGAAAGGCTGGGCTTTCTACTCTCGTGAAACAGTTGCCGTCTCAGAAACCCATGGGAGGGGCTCTATGAGTCAGTGCTGAGTGGATGGCAGTCACTTTGGTTTGGGGTTTGAAGGAATGCCAGTCTCAGAAACCCTCAGGGACCGCTTTGCAGGGACAGGGCTGCTACGAGTCAGAATAGACTCATGACCTAGGTCCACTCACACGGCCAAGGCCAAAGGCAGTTGAAACGGTGGCAATGAGGAGGAAGGGAGGATCGCGAACAGTGTCTCCCATGACGCCTGCCTCACTTCATGTGTGAGAGCTGTCATGTACCCTGCATGGAGTCCCCGAGTGGAACTGGGCTCCTGTCCCCACGCAGCACAGCCCCACCTGCTCAGTGCCCTGGTCCTTCGGGCCACTACACTCGTAACTTTTCTTCCCAGGGTTGGTAGGACCCCGGGCCGAGTGTCTATTGGGGTCTCAGTCTTTTTCTTTCGTCTCTCCGCCTGCTCCCACCCTGAGTCCGTTCCTCATACCACCTCCCCACACATCTAAATCCAGCAGCTCCCTCCGCGCCCACTCTGGAGGTCTTTGTATGGAGCCCCCTTTCTCACTGCAAAGCGAGAGCTGAGGATGAAAGAGCCTTCTCCTTCGAAAGGGCTCTACCTTGAGTGGCTCCCCCAGGAACCCCTGTTTTCCCTGGCTGACATAGTGTTGTACCCGGCACTCAGGAAGGGGTATGGGGAGTCTTTAAAAGACCAGAAATGCCCACTGCAACAAATGTACAAATGTGCTTGAAACAATGGATATATGTATGGATTGTGATAAGAATTGTACGAGCCCCCAGTAAAATGATTTAAAATGATAATAATAAAATAAAAGACCAGAAATGTGGAGGGGTTTCAGAAAGCAGGGGAGGAAAGCTCCAATGCCCCCTCCCATGAAATGCACCCAGTTGTGGCATGGGCCCTTTGCCGCTCCCTTCCTCCCGGCCTCAATTCTTGGAGAGACAACTTCCTTCACTGCCCCCCCCACCCAGCTTTATACCTGAGGAAATAGGGCAGAGAGGTTGTGCCACTGCTCCTTGTTACACGGCTCAGAACACGGGGTGGAAGCAGGGTTAGGACTAGAGGCCTCTCTGACACCCTTTTCTGAAACCCCTGCACCCGTCCATTTGCTCTCTCCCGCTCTTTCTCTTTTTGCTGTGCCGCTGTGGATGTGCTTGTCGGAACCAGTGGGCACTGTCTCTGTGGAGCGAAGAGGAGGCGTGGAAATGGAGTGTGAGTTGTGGGGTTGGAGGGAGGGAGGGGGACAGAGCTGGAAAACCTGAGTGTGACAGCCATGCCATTTCTCATCCCCTCTTGTGTGGTCGCTGCAGGGCAGAGAGGGCGCGCTCTCTCTGATGGCGAGGGTGCGGACCAGCAGGCTGCTGGACCGTGTGCAGCGGTGGGGTCCACTTGGATCCCATCTGCACACTTTCTAGTGTGTGATAGGCCCGCTCCCCTTTCTCCTTTCTCGGGTGTATGCTTTATGACTCAGCTGGAGAGTTCTCGTCATAGGATGTTCTATCAGAGCTGCTTGGCTTTCTTTCTCCAAGGCTTTCCTTGGGTGGCCCTGCAGGGCCATCTGCTCACACCACGTGGAGCCTCGCTCTCTGTCCAGCTGCACATGTGCCCTGGGCAGTCTGCAGCCACGTGAGGCTGTGAGAAGCATGCAAACCCCTTAAAACGAGGAGTTATTTTTTTCCCCCTTGTTGTATCCGAAACATTGAGGAGATAGATTATGTAGCCAACTTGAAAAACACATTCATCTTTTTGAAAAAAGGTGTGTGTGTGTGTGTGTGTGTGTGTGTGTGTGTGTGTGTGTGTAACAGACCCAAATGGCCTTCTTTGTCCCTGGGCCATATGTCTTCTTATTTTTTTCCAGTTGAGCGCACCCAGCAGGCTAGCCTGTTCCATTTTCCCATCTGTAGAGTGGGGATGATGTCATTCCCACTCCCTGGCCCCCGGCTGGGGTGTCACGACAATTAAAGAAGACGATAATGGATAGATCATGGCAATTGACACCAGTCGGAGGGAGTGGGGCTTAACCTCTGCATCTCCTTTACAGAGGTGCCCAGAGACTCCCCCTGTAAGATTCATGCCCTGGCTGCTCCCTGTGGGCCGTACTGTTATTGTAAGAGATGGAATGATCTAACCCTCGCAGGAGAGGAACAGGTCTAGAAGTGGGGCATCTTCCCATCGAGAACTAGGAGGCAGCAGCTCAAAGGTCAAGTGACTGCGGCTGTTCGATGCTGTCACGTCAGTACCCACTCAGCCTACAACAGAATGAAACACCACTGGCCCTGCAGCATCTCACAGCAGTTGTCATGTTTGAGCCCATTGCTGCGGCCACGGTGTCAACTTCTGCTGCCCTGCTACTTTATCAGGCGCGGTGTCTGTGTCAGTCCGGGTAGACTAGAGAAACAAATTAGGAGACACTCATGTGTGCAAGAGAGAACTTTATATCAAAGAGCAATTGAATATTAAGAAAACACCCCAGCCCAGTCTGTATGTCTGATATTAGCCCATATGTCCAATACCAGCCTATAAATTCCTCTTCAGACTCACACAACACATGCAATGATGCAGAATGCATGAAGATCACAGGCCAGTGGGTGGAAAGTCTTGTGGATCCAGTGGTGGTGGAAGTATCTCAGCGCTGGGGTGGGTCTCCACATGGCTTCCCCAGATCCAGGGCTCTGGCTCCATCAGCTTAGCTCCAGGTGGCTTGTCAGCAGGAATGTCTCACAGGGAGACCAGCAGAGAGCATGAGTCTGGCCTCCAGTGAGCTATGTATTTCCGTAGGGCCTCCAAGTGAGGTCATCAAGCTGCAACCTGATTGACAGGCTCAACGCCAGCCCCGTTCACTCTCCATAGTCTCAAGTTGACACCAGGTTATGTAACTACCACAGCGTCCTTCTCCAGGAGCTGGCCCCTCCTGACAACATGTCCAAAGTACGTGAGATGAAGTCTCGCTGTCCTTGCTGCTAAGGAGCATCCTGGCTGTGCTTCTTCCACGACCATGTGCTTGTTGTTCTGTCGGTCCAGCGTCTTTTCCCTACTCTTCGTCAGAGGCATCCTTCAAATGCGTCCATTCTCCTCCACTCTTTTTACTCGAACATCCAACCGTCACGTGCATAGGCCAATACCGTGGCTTGGGGCAGGAGCACCTCAGTTCTCCAAGCAACACGCTTGCTTCTCCAGACTTTAAAGAGGTCTCATGCAGGAGAGTTACCCCATGTCAGGTGGCTGTACGTATGGAAGAAACTTTAGGACATCATGTGGTGTCAGCCAGCTTGAGTTGTGGAATAGAGGTCTCCTTTGGGCCACCGGTCATCAGCAAGTGTGGTCGGGTGGAGAATGGCCCTTTGCAAGGTGTTCACAGCCTGCTCTCTAGATCCGGACATGTGCCCTTATTCGGGGAATGGGTTTTTGTAGGCACGGTGAGGTTAGTTGAAGCCGTGAAGGGCCTGACACTCAAAGACCCACCCTCACCAGCTGTATTTGCAGGTGAGGAGGGAGCAGGTTCCCAATGCTATGGGACCCCTACTATGTGTGTGGGGGGGTGTTGGTGGGGGCATCTTTCTTGTACAGATAAAGGGAAGGGACAATGGCCAGTTTCATTCAGAGTCAATGAGGCGCGGGTTTACATCCCATGACCATGGCCAACTGCAAAGGAGGCGGAGAAAGCGCCCTTTCACAGGATGGGTCCGAGGTTTGGAGCCAGGGAGGAGCACATTCCTGGGGACCACTCCTGTCAGCCACAAGGGTCCCATGGGTCATCTAGAGAAGAGCTGGCAGGACCTGGCAGGGAGGAAGAGACCCTGTATGGTGCCGGGGGCCCTGCCCCAATGGGTTGACAGGGCAAAGGAGGCCTGGGGCAAGGTTTTCCTGAGGGCAGAGTGAACTAAGCCTGCTAGCCTGAGCGGACTGGACCCGGAGCCACATTTCCTCTCTTGAAGGCAGCTGGCTGCTTCTTCACCCGGACTCTGTATTTTTCATTCCTGTGTGGAGCCAGACAGGAGTTCTGGTGGGCTAGTGGTGTGACATGTTGGGCTGTGGTCGTGGGATCTGCAGTCCAAAGCCACCAGCCGTTTGGCAGGGGAAAGACAGGGGTTTTCGACTCCCGTCAAGAGTTCGGTGTGGGACACTCAGAGTCCTCTCCTGTCCTATTCGGTCATGCTAAGTCGGCATCACCTCAGTGGTGGTGGGTTGGTTTGAGGAGTTACGTCCCCAGACACCCCTTGTCTATGTTCTGTTCTCCAGTGCGCCGGGCCTGGCATCACCTCCGAACTGTCTCAAGCTGTCTCTTTCTCCTACCCCCCCTGCCCCCTGCAGGCACCTTGGCTCTGGAGAAGGCTGCGGGGCAAGAGGCGGGCAGTACTGGCATTCTGCCTCGTGATGACCCTGTCTGCAGTGGCCGTCACCCGCTTCCCCGCACTGCACCCAGCCGCCAGTCGGGAACCTGCCTTCATGGAGCTCTGGCGGGTAACTAGTGGCCCTGCCCCCCACGTCCGGCAGACTCTGAACTCCAACCGGCGGCCTCGGGCAAGAAGCCTGGGGTTCCGCAGGGGCTTGGCTTCACCCAGGAATTCCCATGGGGTCTGCACTGAGGAGCCTAGCCACCCGGTGAGAGTGGACAGGAGCAAGCAGGCCCCGGAGGGGGATGGCCGACGTCCAGGGAGGGTCAGGAGGGACATTGCTTCTGCAGCTCTTGGAGGGTCAAGACTCAGCACTCGGCATCCCGGGTCGCCGAGGGAGGGTGGGGTCAGGGGTCCGGGCATCAGAGACCATGGCCACATGGGGCCAGCCAGTCCCACCCAGGGGACCCAGAACAAGAGGGGCATCCTGGTCAGCCAGCTCACGGGGAGTGACTCAAATCCTGCCTGGACTTGGAGGGCTACTGCAACATGGGCTCTGCAGCCCCACCTGGCTGAGGGTAGGGAGCCGCCAGGTGCTGATAAGAAAGCCCGGAGTGACCGGCCACATGTTGGGGACCCTGGCCCAGCCCAGGGGGCACCTTGGTGGCCTGGCTCTGTTGGAGAGTTACAAGGGTCCGTCTGGTGTGACGCTGAGAGCCCTGAGTCATTGACAAGGGAGCAGATGCCACCGTGGTTCACAGAGCATGACGTGCAGACACTCGGGCTGTTGGCCAGGGGAGCGGTGGTGGGCAAGGCCCGGGTGCCTGCCCACGGGCAGGTGCTGCAGGTTGGCCTCTCTGTCCAGGGTGCCCTTCCAGCCCTGTCTCCTCCTGCACTCAGCCGGCATTGCGCCCAGGGGCTGTGCGGCCTCATCAAGAGGCCGGGAGACCTGCCCGAGGTCCTGTCCTTCCACGTGGACCGTGTCCTGGGGCTGCGACGAAGCCTGCCTGCTGTGGCCCGGCGCTTCCACAACCCCCTGCTGCCCTACCGCTACACCGATGGCCACGCGAGGCCTCTGGTCTGGTGGGCACCAGATGTGCAGCACCTGGCTGACCCTGATGACGACCAGAACTCCCTGGCCTTGGGCTGGCTGCAGTACCAGGCCCTGCTGGTGCGTGGCTGCAGCTGGCCAGGCCAGGCCCCATGTCTGGGCATCCACCACGCCGAGTGGGCACGCCTGGCACTCTTTGATTTCCTGCTGCAGGTAGGTGGGGCTGATCACAGGTGGGGAGCAGTGGGGGGTCTGGAGGGATCGGGACAGGATGGGTGGTGATGACTCCTCCTCCTTGTCTTTGGACCATCGGCACGTTTGTTTTTTAGTTAGTCATTTGTTGTGTATTCATCCCTGGTGGCATAGTGGTTATGCATTGGGCTGTTAACCACGAGGTCGGTGGTTTGAAACCACTAGCTGCCCTATAGGAGAAAGATGAGGCTTTCGGTCGCCTTAAAGAGTGACAGTCTGGGAAACCCACAGGGGCAGTTCTACCCTGTCCTGCAGGGTGGCCATGAGTCGGCACTGAATCAATGGCAGTGAGTTTGGGGTCTGAGTATACCTGTGTGTAGCAGAGTTCTCTAGTGAAACAGAACCAGGACACTTATGATTATATATAGGTAAAAGCATGAAGGAATGTAACAGCTAATTAGTCCACACAGCAGTACAGAGGGCTCAGTTCAACTCACTTGTGTGGAATCCTTAATATCCTGGAAGTCCTTCAACTCACCAGGGTTGCTGGGTCCAAGGTCAAGGAAGCAGACAGCTGAGTCTTCCCTCAGGCAATGCAGGCAGAGTCTGCCCACAGGCAGCAGACATCAGGATGGGCCACCAACAGCCAGCAGCTTGGGAGCTTATCAAAGTAGGCCCAGTGGGATCTTGAATTCAAGCAATGCAAGACAACAGGATCCACCAGCCTCAGCTCAAGTGATGGACGTACTAGCAGTGTGGTGAAGCAGGCCTCAAAGTAACTCAAGCTCTAGCGACTTGATCCGCGGGTTGGCTGTCCCACAGGGAGTGTAGGTCACAGGTTGAGGCCGAGAACTAGCTAAAGCAGGTGCACGCTGGTCCCATCACCAGAGAGCAAGATAGAGGGAGGCAGGGCTTTGCCCTCCAATCACACTGTGACCTGATTAATCCCACATGTTCCTATGGACCAGGTTGGCACCATAAACCTACCTATCACAGTATCCACCGAGCTGTGTGCTAGAGTCACTGCCTAAGAGCTCAGAGAGTGCTTGTCAGCATTTCCAGGAATTCAGCCGGTGGGTAGATGCTCACCCTTCAAAAAACAACAAAAAAAGCCACCCCTAACCCACTGCTGCTGAGTGTCTACCCCTCGCAGGGATGCCCCAGCAAGAGGGGACTGGCCCACGGGGTTTCCAAGGCTGTGCATCTGCACAGAAGCAGACAGCTTCCTCTGTCTCTCGTGGGGGAGGGTGGGAGGGCAGTGGGTGCCAACTGCTCACTTTCTGGGTCTCCCCGCAGTGCTTTCACCGCCGCACCACCAGGGAGGCTCCCTCACACCCCAACCTCACTGCCACCAAGCCCACCCCAGCTCACCAAAACACCAGGCAGGGGTTCTGAGGCTGGATAGGAGCAGACGGCCTCACCGTTCACCTGGGGCGCTAGCGGAGTTTCTGAGGGCTTGCCTGTGCTGACCTTGCAGCCCGACACTGACCCCACAGTGCCCCAGGGTCTGAAGGCAGGTGACGTGATCTAAAATAACTGACCGTCAGGCCGCTCTGAGTTGGAATCACCTGGGAGCAGGCATCACCACCACAGTGCCAGATATATGAAAACATGCAGGGAATGCTTAGAATTCACCCCTTCCTGGTGGCATTTTACATCAGCGGCTCCGACTGCATATTCAGATTAAGCATTGGGCTCCTAACAGCAAGACGGGCCGGCCAGACCAGCCACTTGGAGGGAGACAGACGGCCTTATCTGCTCCCAGAAAGATCTACAGCCCTGGACACTTGATCTAGGGTCACTCTGAGTCAGAATGGGCTCGATGGCAGTGTGTCCTCCCCCTGTCCTCTTGAGGTTGTTTATCACCACATCTCTGCAGCGAAGACTGTGTTCTGGGGGCCCTATTGCACGTACCATCTCTCCTAACCCCCACCGTGCTCTGTCGGGTCATCCTGGTCATTTGCAGTTGGTCCAGCGGGGAGTATTCACAGCGCAGGAGTGAGCGAGCTCCAGATTGTTGAACCATCACCAGCGAAGCATTGTTTTTTCAACAAGGATTCAGAATGACTGTCTGATTTGAAAATACGGTGTGTGTGTGTGTGTGTGTGTAGAGCAGTGGTTCTCAACCTTCCTCATGCCGTGACCTTTACATACAGTTCCTCATGTGGTGGTGACCCCCCAACCATAGAATTATTTTCATTGCTACTTCATCGCTGTAATTTTGCTACTGTGATGGATCGTCATGTAAATATCTGATAGGCAGGATGTATTTTCATGGTTACAAATTGAACATAATGAAAGCACAGTGATTCATCACAAAAACAACATGTAATTCTATATCATGAACTAATTATTTCTAATGACAAATCAATGAAATTTTGTCTTGAAGCATGGTAACAGTCTTGATGCTGGGTACGCGTATGTGGGCATATCTGAATGTGGGCGAACCTGCCTGGAGACGGACAGAGGAGCGGTGTCTTGGTTCCTAAGACCATTGGAAATATGTGTTTTCCAATGGTCTTAGGTGACCCCTGTGAAAGGGTCGCTTGACCCCAAGGGGGGTCTCAGCCCACAGGTTGAGAAACCCTGGTGTAGAGAGAGACAGTCAGACAGACAGAGACAGAGATAATACTGGTCCACCCTGGGAGCTGAAGCATGACCAGAGGAAGTGGTCCCTGCCGGGCAAGAGTTAATCTTGCGTTTCCTGGATGAGGAGCAGTCTGGGGACCCTAGGCAAGGAATGGAGGGTTAGGGCAGCAGGGGTTAATTGATAGGCTCTGGGCACCAGCTCTTTACTGACTGACCTGTTGACAGTCAGCCCGGGACCCATGCCATCTGCAGATACACACCAGGAAAGGTGCACGTGTGCACACTGCGAGCACACGGGGCCAGCCCTGGTCTGTAGTCACCTCTTTCGAGTCAGGCTCACCTAGGAGTTGGGCAGAGGGGCTGCTGGCTGGACAAGATTCAGGGTCAGAAGTGGCACTGGGGGGCTGATAGGCTGTCTGGTCAACACAGGATCGGTTTTGCAATGTGTCCCAGAAAGTTCTTTGACAAGATTAAAGCGTGGGAGTTTTCCCATGGAAAAGTCTAGTGTGGTTTCTACTCCACTCCCTGTCTCCCAGTGGCTCCTGAGTGCCTCCGACTTCTCTGCTCAGTGGATGGAGGCCCAGGCGGGTCCAGGACCTGGGCTTTGGCTCTCACCAGGCCTGGGTTTGAGCCCACCCCCGGGCCTCTGCGGGCTGTGTGGCACTGAGCAGGTTACTAGTATCTCTGAGATTCACTCCCTCACTCCCTCACTTCCTGACCCCTTGGGTGTCTGGCTTTGCCTCATTGGGAGCCCAGCCTCTGCCCGGGGGCTTGTTCTTTGCCCTGCCCTGAGACAGGCTGGCAGTGCTGGGTCTGAATGCCCTCTGGCGTGAGAACAGCCATCCAGGTCAGGCTGAGCTGTTTCCCGGAAGGGTAGATGTCTCGGTGCTAAAACCGGGACCGTGGAAACCACACCAGCCATCTCTGGGTCTATGGCCCCTCCGGTGCATGCGGAGCATGTGGTGCACGGCCCAAGGCACCTGTGGTTTAAACCACCCAGCACTCAGATCACCTGCACACCCAGGGAATCCGAGAGTACTGAGCACGTGGGGAAGGCTGGCCGCCTCCCTCCAGACGCAGCCCACAGCAGCGAGCGGTGGATGGGAATGCCGTGGGCTAACTCTGAGACGTGTGTCCTACCTGCTCTGTCATCCAGGGCTCCCCTCCCATCTCACTCCCCCGCCCTCTCCTGGTGTTTCTCAGCATTAGCTGCTCAGGAATGAACTTGGCTTGGGGTCCCCTCGTCTCCAGAACTCTCCCTGGGGAGTCCAATCTGAGTCAGGCAGTCCCTGTGAGGACTGAGGGAGGGTGTTTCCTCTGGGCCCTCCATACGGCTGCTAGTGGGAGTCTCCCCGTCCATCTCCACGCACAGTGAGCGGCTCTCTAGGACAACGTGGAACTGCCCCCTAGGGCTCTGAGACCGTCACGCTTTATGGCGGTAGAAAGCCTCGTTGCCTTCCCACAGAGAGGCTGGTAGTTTCGAACTGCTGACCTTGACGTTAGCAGTCCAGTGAGCACAATCACACGCCATGGGGGCTCCTCTTCTCTGATAAGCAGGCAGCCCTAATACACTGATGCTCATCTCTGTTTGAAGCTGGGAAACTACAGCCCCCGAAGACAAGTGACCTGCCAGGTCACAGCTGACGGAGCTGAGGTGCATCAGTGTGGCATGGGAGTGCACCCTCTACGTGTGTGTGATGAACCATAGCCGGAGGGTGGGACCCTTGCAGGGTTGACTGGGGAGAGGGGATCTTGAGCCCAGAGGTAACATCCCTCAGAGCACCCACTGGCGAGGTGCACATGGTAGCTTCCTGCCCCACACAAAGCCCTTCTGTCCCCGCCGTGGTCTGGAGCCCTCCGCAGCTGCCAGGCCCCGCGCTGGAGACGGGAGTGTGTGCAGCTAAGGCACATACAGGTTGGTTGTGTGGCCAGATGCGGCTGGCTCTCTGGGCTCATGCCACCCCCGTTTGCTGAACCTCAGTCAAGGCAAACACCCCCGTCTGGCTGCCGCCACCTTCCTAGAAACCACTGGCCGGCCAGCCAGAGTTTCCCCAAGGTACCTTCTGGCCGGGGCAGAGGACAAGCTCTGTGCGCAGTGCACATTGGGGCAGCCTGCTCTTTGTGTAACTTTATCCACCACCAAGCCTGCCTTAAAAAAATTTTTTTTATAAGGAGCTGCGGTAGTTACATAATCTGGTGTTAATTTTAGGATTCAGAGTGAAGGGGTAGAGTCTAGCCTGTCAATCAGGTAGTAGCTTGATGACCTCATTTGGAGGTGCTAAGGAGATCAATAGCTCGCTGGAGGTGGGACACACACTCACTCCCTGGGAGACATCCCTGTGGAGAAGACACATGGAGAAAGGCTGATGGAGTCAGACCTCTGGAGCTGGAGAAGTCACTTGGAGACCCCTGCCAGCCCTGAGATTTTTACA